CCGCATCGGGCTCCCTGCTCTGCGGGAAGCCTGCTTCTCCCTCTCCCCTCCCCCTGCTTGTGTTCCCTCTCTCACTCTGTCTCTCTCTGTCAAATAAATAAATAAAATCTTTAAAAAAAAATGCATCTATATTCATAAGGGTTATTGGTCTGTAGTTTATAAAAAATATTTATGGAGCAACGTATATGCCAGGCATTGTTCTAGGTATTGGGACTTCAGCAATTTTTCAGAACAGATCAAAAAACAATCTTTTCTCTCGTGGAGTTTCCATTCCTGTGGATGACCAGCACGGTTGCTTTCCACTCACACTTGACATTGTTTTCTGTGTCCTCTCAATGATGCTGCATGTTCCATCCTCCATGCCAGACTTTTGATACCTGGATGGTCAGTGTTGGGAGATTGGAAGGGGACTATTTCCTTTTTTAAATTGCTGTTCCTTGGGGCCCCTGTGTGGCTCAGATGGTTAAGCATCTGCCTTCGGCTCAGGTCATGATCCCAGGGTCCTGGGATCGAGCCCTGCGTCGGGCTCCTGGCTCAGGGGGGAGCCTGCTTCTCCCTTTCCCTCCCGCTCCCCCTGCTCATGCTCATGCTCTCTCTCTGGATCTCAAATGAATAAACTTAAAAAAAATAAAAAATAAATAAATTGCTGCTCCTTTTCCCCCCTTTTTAATGTAACTACTTCTAACCTCAGGTATTTGTGTTCTGAATGGGGGTTCTTTCATTTAATACTATTGTTGTGAGATTGGGTTTGTGTTGTCATGCTTTGTTCATTCTCATTGTTATATAGTTTCTCCTTATATGCATATTCAGCAGTTTATTCACTGCTCTGTAAATGGACATTTGGATTATTTGCTGCTTGGGGCTCCTGCTGAACAGCACTGCTGTGCGCATGCATAGATCTGGCCCTTTTGCAAACACATTTGCTCTGCTCTGGGGTCTATCACCGGGAGTGGAGTTGCTCTGTCATAGGATGCGTTTAAATTCAGTTTGGGTATATTCTGCCAGTTTTCCACAATGGAAGTACAAAGTAGATTCCCAGCAGCTAGGAGCGACACCTTGCAGGTGCCGTATCCCCCTATAGCCATGCTGGTGGGTGTGTCCGGGGATCTCATTGAAGTTTTAGTTTTAGGGCAGGAGATCCTGTTTGTTTTAAATACAATTAAACGGAGCCATCTGCCCACCTCGGGCCTTTTCTTAACAGAGATTACAGCTTTCTTGGGCACCCCTTCCATGCTAGCAGTAGAATCAGGAGGCCATTCCTGTCCACACATCTTCCACAGCCCCTGACTGGCTTTCTGTTTCCCCAGTAAGAAGAAGAAGAATGACGCGGGGAAATCAATCAAGACCGCCCAGGACCGAGTGCTTACATATCAGTATAACATGAATTTTGAGAAGGTGGGCAAATGCATCATAATAAACAACAAGAACTTCGACCAAAAGACAGGTCAGTGCTGTGGGCCTGGGCTGACCTTTCCTGTCCCCTTGTGTCATCTTCAGCTTGTATCAGACTTTGATTAGAGAAGGGCCAGGCCCATCTGCTGGGGCAGACAGCCGCCCACCCAGTGCTCTTTACGTGCCCAGGAAGAAGGCACGAGGGACATCGGGAGCTTCGAGTCTGAGGTCCCACCACGTGCATTCGCTGATGTGGGACTTGGACCAAAGGGCTACGAATCGAGGGGAGCTCTTTGGTCTCGACTGAAGCAGAGAGTTGCCGTGATGAGGCTCACCTTCTGTGGGCAGACTGAATGACCTTCTCCTTTGAGTTTGCTTCTTATCTCAGTTGCTCATTTCAACTCTGACCTTGGAAGCATTGAGACCGGAGCCCGCAAGGCTACACTTAGGGCCCGACCGGATGCGGCTAGCGGGCAGCACTCAGCCAGGAACTGCTCATCATGGCCTTCATTCCCACAGGTATGAGCGTCCGAAATGGGACGGACAAAGATGCTGAGGCCCTTTTCAAGTGCTTCAGAAACCTGGGCTTTGATGTGGTCGTCCATAATGACTGTTCTTGTGCCAAGATGCAAGATCTGCTGAAGCAAGGTGCGTGCCCGTCTCCTCCCCACACCTCCTCCCTGCTCCGGGATGGGCCAGCACGCCAGCGGTCTCGGGAGGGCGCCTTGGCGGGACACAGCGATTTCAGCCCGGGCAGCCTTTCCTTCCTCTGGGCTACTCCGGCCTAGGCGGAGGCCTTTCAGAACTTCCACCTCTCCCTAAAAAGATGAAATCAGCAACTAGTACAGCAAGTGATAGGTTTGGTATCTACAGAACAGTCTCCATTTCAGAAAGCTAATTCATAGGGAAGGAACAAGTCTGTATCTTTCTGTCCAGAACGGAGTTGAAGTGTCAACCTTTCCCTGGTGGCAGATAGAGAAAAATAATCTCCCTGTATTGCAGATGTTTATGTTTTAAACAGACTTTGCAGATACGGGAACTAAGGCACAAAATGGTGACGTAACTTGCCTGGTGTCGCAGGCCTAACAAACAGCAGGGCCTTGCCCATTCAGTGCCCCCGGACGCTGCCTCCTAGCAGCCGCCTGAACCCCTCCCACATGGGGGGCACACCTCCTCACGAGGGGCACACCTCCCCACGAGGCAACCCCATCTAGGTTTCAGACCGTGTGAGAATTCTAGAATCCCCTGTCTCTAACTTCTCTGCACTGGTCTTCCTTCTCTCCAGAGAGGTGCTCCTCCCTCTGCACACCTGTCTGACAGTCAGTGGCCACTACCAGGCTGGGAGGGAGCACCCTCTGGAGGTCCCACAGGACTTACACCTTAACCTTTCCATCCTCGAACCGCTTGCTTGCAGCCTCTGAAGAGGACCACAGAAATTCCGCTTGCTTCGCCTGCATCTTGCTAAGCCACGGAGAAGAAAATTTAATTTATGGAACAGATGGCGTGACAGCAATAAAGGACTTGACCGCCCATTTTAGGGGGGACAGATGCAGAAGCCTTCTAGAGAAACCCAAACTCTTCTTCATTCAGGTAATCCCTTTTCAAAGCCAGTGCCATTGAAAAAGGACAAAGAGGACAGAGCGATGACAGCGTGACTTGGGTTCTATCACCTTTACAGATGTACGCGCTGTTTCAGTTGGGGTTTGCAAATTTAGGTTTTGTTTTTCTATCCCTCCATGCTTGGCATCTGTATTTGCATCAGCTCAGCCGTTGTGAGGGTTTAAGACACTGTGATATTTTCATTTGCTTTGCTTGCTAATTTGACGCAAGCTTTATTCATTATGTATTTATATTTCAAATTCTCATTGAGCCGCTAATGCATGCCGAGCGCAGCCCCGGGCACCGGGACGCAGCAGTGAAAAGCTCACACGTTCCTATTCCCAACTCCATGGAGTGATCTCTGCTTTGGTACTTAGGCTTGCCGGGGGACAGAGCTCGATGATGGGGTCCAGGCCGACTCGGGGCCGATCAATGACACAGATGCCAATCCTCGATATAAGATCCCCGTTGAAGCCGACTTTCTCTTCGCCTATTCTACGGTTCCAGGTATCAGATCCATTGCCTGTGAACCAGACCATGCCATTCCACCATCAGAATGCAGGCTTGAGGCTGTATGCATTTCCTGTTGCTGCAGGGATAATTCCCCGAAACATAGTGGCTTCAGACCCACAAGCGTATTATCTTATGGTTCTGGAGGCCAGAGTTCCAAATGGGCTGGCAGGGCAACCCAGAATTCCAGAAGGAATATTCTGGCGGCTCTAGGGGGGATATCCACGTCCTTGCCTTTTCCAGCATGTTAGAATTCCCTGGCTTGTGGTCCCCTACCTCCAGCTTCAAAGCCAGCAACCTCGAATCTCTGTGACTCTTCTCTCCTGCACATCCCTCTCTTGAGGCTTGATTAGAAAGTAGCTCTCGCCCCCCAAAGGGCAGTGGGGAGTTCCAGAGTTCTTCTCAAGCATTTCCTTTGGAAAGCTCCATGTGCCCATTTGTCTCCTACACACTTAGGTATTTGGTATGTATCCGTGCAGGACACTGTGTTGGGCATCTTCAGGCAGCCTTCTAAACCTAAGATGTTTGCTCTCTGCTCACACAGCCTAAATCTCACAGGGAACTTGCATGCAAAGAAGAGTAAGATAATTTCAGAAAAGCAGGTGTGAAGGCCCCATATACCGAGAGCTCCTTCTTGGTGGCCCGTGGGGCAGCGGCCAACTCAGCTGATCTGATCTTCTCCTTTCTGTCTTGTTGAAGGCTATTACTCATGGAGGAACCCAGGAAGCGGGTCCTGGTTTGTGCAGGCCCTGTGCTCCACCCTGAACGAACACGGCAAGAGCCTGGAGATCTTGCATATCCTCACCAGGGTGAACAACAGGGTGGCCAGGCACTTCGAGTCCCAGTCTGATGACCCCCACTTCCACGAGAAGAAGCAGATCCCGTGTGTGGTCTCCATGCTTACCAAGGAACTCTACTTCTGAAAAAATAACCATTTCAGGGATGCGTTCGAGCTGAAAAGCTACGGATCATTTGTTCACGAGTCTTTTTTTTTTTTTTTTTTGATGCTCTTGAAATACCCAGAAATTCTAAAGGATTTTAATTCAGGAACATTTATTGATTCAACAGGAAAGAAACTTTCTGGTGCTGTCTTACGTTCTTATGTTTTTGGAGACTTTTTTTTTTTTTTTTAATAATGTTACCTATTTGATGGCTTTGTAATTTCTTCTTCAGACTAATTTTCTGTTTGTATTTTTCTCCTTGTTGTCCTACTTAGTACATACAACAGAAACAAGTTCCGCAGACTCTTGGCTGTGTCCATCATGATTGGTGGTGACATGGCAGACAGGGTCTACCTGGCCAGGAGGGTTCCAGTGCTTGGAAAAAAGCAGCCTGTATTCACCTGTATTGCAGAAAATGGGTATTGAGTGCGATTTGAGTGATTTCTCATCGGCTTAGGGCAGATTCTCATGCAGAACTTCCCAGATAAGTTAAAGGGGGAAAAATATTAATGATTCTAATATGTCTGTCTGATAGAAAACAGAAACCATTCTAGGTATTTCAATAGAGGTAATTTCATAGAGGAAATTGACCTACAAAGATGATAAAAGAGAAGCCAAATAAAAGGAATCTGTGACCACCTAGGACTATGAAAAGGTGTGGTCTCCTTAATCCAGAAGCTGGGGTAGCTACCCACAGGAGCCAGCAGTGTGATGGGGGCTGCCTGGTGAGAGCCAGGACCACCGAGGGATTGTGGAAATTGGAGCCATGGCAGAGACAAAGCCCCTGCCTGAGGTGGGGCAAGACCAGCTGGGTCAGATATGGAGAGATACCCTGGCTTCATCTCTCCTGCCCTCTAGTCTTCCTCCCGCACCTTACCTGGAAGCCAGATGACAAGGGCCCTGGGAAACGTGATTTTCTGCAAATACAGAGCACAGCAAAGCCTAGTGAGGCAGGACAGGAACAAGAAATGGATATCAGAATGGCCCATAATGTGAATATAAGTAATCCTATTCCCTGATGTGCAGCGACTCCTCCCTTCAATCATTTATTCACTGAGTTGTCAGATAATCTCCGTATTGCCCACTATGTGCAAAATCTTTTTTTAGCTTTGAAATCTACCTGGAACTTTTTAGATTATTCCAGTCCTTATTCTGAGTAAATTCTTTGTTACCTCTAATTCTCTATGGGGGAAAAGTTTATGGCAAAGATTTTTGCACTTTGTTTTCAAGGTTACCTTTTGAATTCTTGACTATTTTATTCTGGCTTAATAACTGGTTAACATACAGATGTTCATATTTATTGATTAAAATGTGATTGCTTAATTCCTAACCAGCTCAGTTTGCTTTCCTTCTAAAGTTTTTTATGGCAGTGGAAAAATGGAAAAACAGGATAAGAATTGACCCCACTGACTTTACCTCCACACAAAATATAACTCATGTCTCTTTGAAGCTGGAACACGAACAGAGCAGTAAGTCAATCACTTTGGAAGCTGAAATGCTTCACATAAAGGGTTAATTAACTTAACAAAGCTGTTTGCAATGAGCTACCATTTATTAATTTGGCGACAAAATCAGAGCGAGTAGAAGTATTTTCTTTCAATAAGAAAACTACTTTAGGGCCAGTTTATTAGACCTGTCCCTGGTTTCCTGCCATCTAAAATATACCAAATGTACAAAATTTAAGTGCAGATCATGAATCAAGAATCAACAAGCATCCTCCCTACCATTTGCAGAATTCACCAGCTCTTCTTTGGAAAACAGACTACCCTACTAAAGGAAACTCTCGTAGAAATAAATGTGCCTAAGTGCATTGTAACTGGAAGTAAAAATTACTGTAATTATTTCCCTTGTATGCTTCATTAAAAATCCCAAGTGGCAGGGTTTTGGGTTTCTTTAAAAATTCTCTGAGCGATCATAGGTACTAAGCTCACAAATAATGAATATTCCTTCATAGACCAGAGATAGAAAGGGCTATTAAGAAAGAGACTTCACCCTTGAATACTTCACTGGGCAGACACTCTTGTTTAGCAAGATCAGAGATCCTATTCCAAGTTGGGTATGTGCTCAGTCACACCTCCATTCTTAAACTTTCTGATATTTCTATAAACCGAAATTCCGATAAGAACTCAATCCTGGTGAATACACATTCCTATTAGAACCCAACCTGCCCCTTGCAGGAGTAACAGCCAAAGCCCTGCCTTGGCTCCGGAGAAAGCCAGTGCAGGCGTAAGCTATCCTTGCGGGAATCATGGGCTCAAGTCTGGGCTTCTCTTTGTTTTTCTCAAGGTGCCATTAGCCTATTTTAAGTGTTAGCTGTTAATACATTCACAGTCAGCCTTAGGCTCTGCCCTGAGCCTTTTCTCTGAGCAAATTTCCATAAACCAGCTAAGCCTATTGTGTTTATGAATTGCCCAAAATAGGTCTCAAAGTGCTGGAGTTCAGTGTAGTCACATGGTTTAAAACCTCCAGGAAGGGAAGGCCCCGCTGGGAGAAAGAAGATGATGTCTTCTGGAAGGGCACAGGCCCTACGTGACAAATCCTTTATTTTGTCCAGTCTTGCAGCCCATCGCCTGAAAATCTTGGCACCAGCTCCTCTGGGAACCAAAGATTGCCTTTGGACTCCCAAGGAGCAGACTCCTCCGTCCTTCTAGCTTTTCGCCTTTCATGCCCCTTTCCAGCAAATGTCTGGCCCAGTGAGAAGCTGCGATGGTCACGAGGTTAAAGCAGCAATTCATCTGCGTCATTAGCCGGGAGACAAGTAGCAGCCCAGGTGTCTCTAATGTCTGAAGGAATGGGATCCTTTAGGGTTCTTCAAAGATATGCAGATCAGAAGGTTTGTACATTGTTTGCCTTGTAGATATTTCGTATCTTGCAGCATCGAGTGTGTGAGCGTGGGCGCAGTGACGTCAGCATCCCCAGGGAGCTTGTCGGAAATGCAGGATCCCAGGTTCCGCCCCACACCTGCTCAACACAATCTGCACTGTAACCAGGTCCCCAGGGGATCCAGGTGCACGTTACAGTCTGCGAAGCTCAGTTTTGAGGGCAAGGAGCCCTTGTTTACACATTTTTGCTTGCCCTTTGCACTTCTGAACGTGGAACTGATTATAATAGAGTATACGCCTAAAAAGGAATTAGTGAAAGGACAGGTATATTGTGAAGCTTCCACAGAAGATGCGTTTTTAGGCATCTCTTAACTTTAATATTTTCTTGTGAAATGACATGTTGCCCTTAATTTACATGGGAGACTTTTTATGCCCTTCCCCATTTTAAATGAGCCTTCTGAGCGACATAATAGGATTGCTTGTATGTTCTCAAAGTGCCTTCAAATGTGAATTGCAGCCTTTAAAATGTCTTCATAAATAGAATGGGATTAAGGGAGCCAATCCTTGCATGTTTTTGTTGGTGCAGGAGCTGGTGTGCATTGAAGCCTCAGAGCTTGTCTCTTCCCAGCTATCCTCAGAGCCCGGGTGGACACCAAGAGAATTTTCCTTCTCCCTGCCACTGTGCGCTCAGGCCATAGATCACCCTTTGATAGACCTCAGAGCCTTGTTTTGGATCAGATGGCAAGTAGTTCTTTTTGATTTGTAAGCAATTAACAAAAACACACCAAGAACATATTTGGAAGGCCCCAGCTACCACCACAGTACTGATGTGGACATGGAAACCCCATTAGCTTGCAGGTTCATGCATGAATAGCCATTAAAAATTAGTTGGTCAACAGTCAAAAACACACAAGCCAAATATGACGAGTTGGCTTTGCTATGAGTTTTGATTTATAAGGCACTATAAGCATGTATGGCAAATTTCTAGTAAGTTTGTTTTAAGCATTTAAACCCAAACCATGTCAAAGATTTAAATTTAGGCACATGGTGTTATAGCTGCAGATAGCTCTACAAGGCTGAGCACTTCTTGGGTTTTGATGGTCTGACCAAAGTCATGAAAGGCATGAGGTTCAGGGAGGATTTGGGAAAGAGAGGGAAGTATAAACAGTCTGATGGGTTTCGTCTAAATTGCTGGTTCCAGCTTAAGTGGTTTAAGCATATGGCAACCAGCACAGCATCATACTTATTTCTTAGGATGCAAGGTTAGCAAAGGTGTTTTAACCACTAGTGTTTTGAAATTTGGCTCTGAGTCCCATCTGAATTCTAATCCCAGCTCAGCCATTTGACCACCTAACATTCATGTGACTTTAGGCAATCCTTCTATTTCCTCATCTACACATGAGGGTAGTAACATCGTGGAGATTAAATGAGATGATGTATGTGAAGTACTTATTAGCACAATGCCTGGCACAAAACACTCAGTAAAAAGGTAGGTATCAAAGATGATGATGATGACAATGACATGAAGCTTGTAGAAAAGCAAGAAAGGAAGATGCTCCACTGGACCCTCCACTCACTGTTTTCTGCCTCAAGGACTGTTTCTTTGCTCATGTCTTCCAGTCTGTGCCTCTCAAAGTGAGGTCTCCCAGAAGTGCCATGATGACACCAAAGATTGATTTATGCAGCAACCATTGAAAGAGTCCTACTAAATGCCAGGTGTTGGGTTAGGGGTGGGGCTAAAAAGATGACCAAGAAATGATGCTTTCCCCAGAGGAGGTTAACATCACTCCAGTAAAATAGAGGCTGTAAAGGAGTTGTGCATACATTACTCCAGAATGCAGATGAGGGGGTGTCCCCCTCTGCTTAGGGATTCAGAGAGGGGTTCCCAGAGGAAATATCTAAACTTCTTTCATTTTAGCCACCCCAGAAAGGCTGAGAGGAGGCAGTACAGGAGGGGAAATTAAGGTCAGTAGGTAGAAGATGACATTTTTATTTAAGAGATTCTCAAGCTCTGGGTACTTACCTGAGGATCCTCGGGGATCTGTGTATGAAGCAGATTCCTGCATCCAGTATTCCTGGGATGGAGACCAGGAATCTGCTCATTTAACAAACCTGCCTGGATATTCTGATGTAGGTGCTTTATACTGATATCAAAAGGCTGGCTTGCAGATCAACATGAGTGACAGCAAAGCCTAAATTAAACAGCTGGAAAAAGATCACCAAAGGTCCAGCAATGCACTATTTGCGCACCTGGCTATTCAGAGTCTTAATCAGCTCAGGCTGCTGTACCATCACCGGAAGTGGGCAGCTTAAACAACAAACATGTATTTCTCACTGTTCTGGAGGTTGGGAAGTCCCAAGATCAAGGCACTGGCAGATTCCATGTGTGGGGAGAGTTGGCTTCCTGGATTATAGATTTCACCTTTTGCTGTATTCTCACCTGGCAGAGGGTGGGAGGAGTTGGGGGGGGTCTCTTTTATGAGGGACTAATCCATTCATGAGGACTCCACCCTCATGATCTAATCACCTCCAAAGGCCCCCACCTTCACATATCATCATATTTAGGGGCTAGGATTTCAACATAGGAATTTTAAGGGGACACATTCAGTCCGTAATACCTGGCTAGCCATCTTACCCCAAGATTGAATGGCAAAGGATCAAAGGCACAGACGTGCTCAGGACTCAAGAACACTTGCCCAGGAACTTCAGAGCCTGTCCAGGAGCTTCAAGGCCATGGCAACTTGTGAGGAAGCCCACGATGTGTAAGGGAGGAGCAGACAGCACACAGCTTACAGGGGATGGGTCCAGGTGCTCTGCTTCTCCAGCTGGTGTCAGCAGGCCCACTTCTTTCCTCTTCCTCTCCAATCACTTAGGCAATCATTTCTAAACAAGATGGGCCACCCATGTTTTTCCTTCCTCCAATACTTAATGGGTACCACAATGCAAAACACTCCCTTTGACAACATTACTAACATGTTTAAAGGAACTTTCCTCTACATCACCTTTCATAATTAGTATTAACTGGATTAATGTTAAGTAGGGAAGGGAAAAAATAATTTTCAAGTGAATGTTTTTTATACTAGGGTAAAGGACTAACTCTTTAAAGCTTAAGAAAATCAGCTTTTGCAAATTATCTTTTCTGAAGCTTCCAGCTGTATTAAATGCTGACGGTTTTTAAGCACCGAGATGAAAGAGACAAATTCTTTTTCTTTTGTGTTGCTAATTACAATTTTGCTTAGCATTATGAAGCCTGCTTTCCTCTTGAGACATTTGCCAGCATACGTTAATTGCGCAAATATTTAGACTGCTAAAGCACGGGGGCATCTTCCACCAAAAAAGATACGGAACACTTGAAAAAAAGCCTCTCTGACACATTACATTTGTGACCAGCGACCCAGAATCAGTGTAAACTATCTGCCCCTTAGCCTCAGCAAATGTGTTTAAAGAACACTGTCCCTAGGTTGATTTAGTGTTTGCTTGGCTAGCAGTGGCCGCTGAAGTCTTTCTT